CAGAACCGGGGATTGAACTCAGGCCCTTGCACTTGCCAGGGAAGCACTTATTCCACTGAGCCATCTTATCTCCCTTAAACATTTTTTGAGTACAGCAAATTTTCTAATAAATTTATACATTTTCTTTCAAAAGATATAAACTGACCAAACAGCAAGAGATTACTTTTTAAAATGTTCACTATTACTGTTAATGAAGTTTAAAAAATACTAGAACCTTATTAAAAATAACCCTTTTTAGGGCTGGCCAGATAGCTCAGCAGACCGGGGTTCAATCCCTGGTATGCCCTGCTGGCCCCGTCCCCGGAGTGCGCTGGGACAGCAATTGCGACTGGGAGTGGTGGTGCACCCCCGTAATCCCAGCACTTGGGGGGCTGAAAACAGGAGAATCACTACGAGTCCAATCTGTATAGTGAGACCTTATAGACCCTGTATTAAATACATTAAAAAAAAACACCACTTTTCCATTCAAAAGCTGTAACATAATTGAGGCATGTGACAAAAAAAGTCTGGCAATAATATTGAGGCACGCAACTTTAAAGGGAGGGGTAGAATAATGCCTAAAGAATGGCCTAAGAGGACCAGTGGGATAGCTCAGTGGACTAAGCACCTGCTTAGGCAAGCACAGGGGCCGGGGTTCAATCCCTGCCATCACGCTGAGCTGGCCACCAAGGCTGGGCATGGTGGCGCATGCCTGTAATCCCAGCACTGGGGAGGCTGAAAACAGGAGGATCACCATGGGTCCAAGCTGCATAGTGGGACCCTGAACCAAATACATTAAAATAAAATAATAAATGAGTAGCAGAGGATATGCAAAATAAAGACTGATATTATGCAAGAGAGGGCACGAAGAGGACTCTTTAGTCACAGAAATTACTGTAAACTTTCTTGGCTGTTTTTTTTTTTTCTTTGCTGTTTTCCAAAAATCATACACTGTTGGCCTTACAGAATAGGATGATTTTTCTGTTTAAACAAAATAAATCATAACTCTGAGTCTGACATTCTCCACAAAAGTAATTATGTAAGACTGGGATTCTATTTTTCCTAATAAAACTCTCACAAAAACATAATGAACACAGCAAATAACATGAAATTGTAAAATAATAATGTTATACAGCCCAGCTACCACATAAAATTTGATTTAATGCACGTGTCTTCTATATAGCTTTTAAAAGTATGATTTACCTTTGAACACGTTGTCGTTTTCCCACTCCCCTGCAGCCCCACAAACATGATCACATTCTGTTTTCCTTTTGTGGGTGTCCAGGCTTTAACTCCAGGATCTACAAGCTATATATCACAAATAAAATAAAAATAAAATCAGGTTAATATACACTTATATTCAAAATCCAGCCCCCTAGAAATTTTAAGTTATAGTTTGAGGAATTTTCATATAAAAACCACCATGATCCTACAATTCTAATACAACTCTATTGTTCCCTTTATACAAGAGCAAAATTTAACAATATTCTATTATAAAGTTATAAGCAAGATTTTACTACTATCTCAAGTCACAGGTAACTCAAAATATTTTATAGAACAAGATGGAATATGAAATAAAACGTGAGACAAATTATGACTTAAAGGAGCAATCTTTTATTACTCACCGCAGAAATATAGCACAAGGCCATACGTGAATTTTAAAATTTCTAGTAGGATCCTTAACAAAAATAAAAGCAGCTAAATTTGGTTTTAGTATTTCATTCAACACAGTATGTTCAAAATATTAGCACTAAAAAAAAATGTAACCTATAAGATAGTTTATGTTCCTTTTCCCCGTACTAAGCCTTCAGAGAGTGTGCATTCATTTACAACACTCACTGAATCACTCATTCAGTGGTCTTGTAATGAAAAAGTCTTGCGCACACTAGGCAAGCTCTCTACCACTGCAATCCGCCCTCTGCCCTCCAGTGCGCATTTCACATGTGAGGCACAGCTCAGTTCACACTTGCCACGTTGCAGGTGCACAGTAGGCACATGTGGCCAGTAGCTACCACACTGACAAACGTTCATAAGGAGGTAAGTCATGAATGTTGTGTGAAAGGATTTGCAGGCAAACATTAAATTTTGCAATTCCAAAAAGTTTCCATTCTATAAAGTTATTACAAGTAGACAGCTGGTAAAAGTTGATGTAAAATAACTCACTTTTAAGTCAATTACTTGGAGGTTGAAATACTTATCTCCATATGATAATAAATGTGTAACTGTAGATTAATATCGCGTAAGTTGCAACCTATTAAAGTTGTAATGAACACAGCCACCTTCATTCACTATTTCTGTGTTGCAAAAGCAGAGCTGAGCAGTTGCAATAAAGACCACACAGCCCCAAACCTAAACCCTTAACAGAAAGTTTGTCAAGCCCATTCTAATACTGCTATTAGGGTCATGGGTTAAACCTGAAGTTTGAAGATAGATGCCAGTGAGAAGAGAGAAAAAGAAAAATACATCTTCTTATCCCTTTCCTAGATACAAACTTAGGCTTGGGCAAACTTGAATAGGAAAATCTGTTGTGTGTATATAAGAGAGAGAGGGACAGAAAGAGAGTTGTGAAACAGGGTCTCACTATGTAGCCCAACCTAGCTTTGAACTCATGGAGATCCTGTCTCAACATCCAAAGTGCTGAGTCTTCTGTTCATTCAAGTAAAAAGGGTGTCAGATAAAAGCAGCAGCTACCTCAATTTGTAATTAAACTGCCACACATGGGCTTTCCTATTAATAAGGCAATCATGAAATTTCAGTGTGTAAAAGGACTTTATTATATATTCTATTTCTTTATACAATGAAAAATGTAAAATAAAAATTGTCAGATGTGATTTTCCTACCCCCCCCCAAAAAAAACCCCAAAACAGGGCTATCATCAGATAATAACTGATACTAAAAGAAAAAAACCTCAGAGAGGCTCTTCCATCAACTAATTTGTAATATAGTCTTATTCTTTGCAACTTATGTTTGATCATCAGTACCATTAAAAAAAAAAAAAAAAAAAAAAGCAAATGATGTCTTGGCCTTATAATAAAGTTTTTTTCTTTTTTTTTTTTTTTTAAAGTTTTTTTCTTAAGTCTTCCATGAACCATTGCTCTAGAGTATAGGCATCTTCTTTATGAAGACTAGCTGTCACATTTGACATTAATCTATATATGAAAGCAATGCGGAAAAGCATTCAGCATTTCTGGTGTTTGCAAAAGACAAAATAACACACTGGACAGAAAACCTGTATATAAAATATATGGAAAAGCTTTTAAATTTTTATATTGTCAAATAAGTGAAAAGTCTCACTGGAGAGAAACTTTATATAAGTTTATTTTGATAATCCTGTGAAAAATTCTCACGTAGTGGAAACCTATAGGACTAATTAACACAAAATGCTTGATGTCTTTCTCCATAAAATTTCCATAAAATAAAAACCCAGATAGAAATATCCTAAAGTACACACATTATGTGTTTTTCAGTAAGTCACTTAAATATCTGGTTAATGTTTCTCCAGTATATAATATAAAAATAATGAGTTGGCATAATTAGGTGTTTTTATGTGCCTTTGAGCTTAATTTATGGTGTCTTTTCTTTTCTTTTTTTTTTTGCGGAACCGGGGATTGAACTTAGATCCTTGCATTTGCTAGTCAAGTGCTTATTCTACTGAGCCATCTCCCCAGCCCCTATAATGTCTTTTAATTAAGCATGATGAATTGAAATTTTTTGCTTTCAATTACAGTTAATATTTATGTAAGTTTTGTTTGGACTTTAATTTAGGTGTAGTACATAAAAATTTTTGTTACTTTTTGTTCATGGTTGGGATACTGTCATTTGTTTTACATTTTTGGTGTGTACTCAGTTTGAATATGGTGCCATATTTTATATTAAGATATATATTTACTCAAAGACTTTGAACATGTACTTTTCACAAAGTTGATTTGTTTTCACATAACTTGTAAATGAGCAAGTTGTGTTTCTCATATACAGAAATGGTATCTGCTTGTATCCCAATGTTCTGTATCATACTGTGTACATAATTTTGATATTTTTTTTCATATTAGAGCAAATATTCTCATTTATAATATATATACACATATAGACTAGCTGTAATCAACTCTGCTATCAGCAGCATTTGCCACACTGGCTGGAATACTGAGGGTTCAAAAAGCTTCTTAAGGAAGCTCTTGAAGCTCAGAACTGCCTGTAAAGAACCCTAACATTAATGATTCGTACGCTTCCTCTTCTGCCCTCAGGCACTAGATAGAAAACAACTGAGGCTGGGGAGATGGTTCAGTAGAATAAGCGCTTGCCTGGCAAGCACAAGGGCCTGAGTTCAATCCCCAGTTCCACCAAAAAAAAAAAAAAAGAAAGAAAGATTAAAAAAGAAAACAATAACTAAAAATAACTCAGTAAATGCCCCACAAGGAGTCAGGAGATTATACGCAGGTCTGTCATTAACAAGGCAACAAGGTAACTTTTCTCAACTGCAATCTAAGCAGAATCAACTAAATAAACACTTGCCTCTTAGAGGTCTGAATTTTTTTTTTATTAGCCTACTGTACTAAACTGAAATGATACAGTTATCTGAGATAACCAGACTTTTCCAAAATATATATTAGCACCGATACTAAGAGTACATGAAAGTATTTGTACCATGTAGGAAAAAATATTAGTAAATCACTAGAAGACATTTGTCATTATAAAATTTGACAATTCTTTTCTTTTCTTTCTATTCTTTTTTTTTTTTTGGAACCAGGGATTGAACTCAGGCCCTTGCGCTTGCCAGGGAAGTGCTTATTCTACTGAGCCATCTCCCCAGCCCCTTCTTTTCTTTATATTCCTACCATTAAACCTGTGTATATTTTAAATGCTCTAATGCCCAGCATGGTGGTGCACACCTGTTATTCCAGGACTTGGAAGGCTGGAAGCCTCCTTCCAGGGAGGCTGAGGCAAGAAGAGTGCTGGAAGTTCAAAGAGCTATTTAAGTGAATTCAAGGCCAGTCTAAAACTATATAGCAAGACCACAATAACCGAAAAATAAAATAAAATGAAAGTAAATTTACTAACTCAAAATTGCTCATAATCTAGGCAAGATACCTGGTCTTTACAAAGATAATTTTTCTTACAATGAAAAGTGTAAAAAATAATACTTGTCAGGTATGATTTTCCTATACAAAAAAGTAGGACTATCTTTAGGCAAAGTTGCAATTAAGGGGGAAAAAAACTCAGAGAGGCTTTTCTATAAAGTATAAGAAAGTTTTACTCTTTGCAACTTGCTTTGACTTTTTTTTTTCCCCAGGGACAGAACTTTATATACTTTAGAATTCTGTAATCAGTAAAAGTCTATAGAACAAAAACATAATCTGCTTTAGAAAAATTAACAATCCTTCAATATTTTAGTTATAAAAATATATTTAAAAGCATTCCACAGCATGCTAGAGTACTTTTATTCACTGAATCTAGAAAACCATAGCACAATCTTGATAAACTCTTACCTTCACAAGTTCTTTAAATACAGCATGCTGAATCATTTTTCTCTTGTTAAGACCAGATGCCATCTCTTCAAGATCTATAGCAGACCTTCATGATAGTGGTATTTGGGGTAGGAAAGAGAAAAGTCAGTTGAGGTAATCTAAAAAAAGCTCTATTCCACAAAATGCAAAATGTGAGATTATTCAACCATTCATATTTTTAAGACATATTTTAAATTGGCACATGATTGTACAAATTTATGAGGCACAATGTGATATTACAACACGTGATACAATATGTCATCATTAGATCACAGTATTTGCCATATATATTTTTTTAAATTTTTTTATTTTATTGAGAAATAAATATGAGAGTTTCAAAGCTGAATAATAGGACAGTTTCGATAATTAATACATTGTACATTGTTATCTTCTTAGTGGTTATCCACAGTACAAGAAGCAGACAGGATATCCTGTTCAAACACTATTAGTATACCTCTTTCTCATTGAATTAAGCGAAAGTAGCTGTATATCTATCCTAATTATTTTGTACATATAAACACAAAATGATCTTTCCTTTGTATCCCCTTTTTTTTGTTTAGTCCTGTCAGAGGTGAATATTTTATTGGCATCTAAATACTATAGGTGTTTGAATTCAGCTAAACAATCCAACACTGTCTAGCAGTCTATAATATTAGTGGGTTATCCTCAGAAGTTATTGACTTGAGCCTTTTACAGCTCATCATATTAATATCAACCATTCATATTAACGGGTCCAATTATTACTGCAGATTTATAAAGTCTATATCATAAAGACCCATAACAAAAAATATCTGATGCAAGACTTTAATTTTTCAAGGCTTTCAGTTGAAATTATAATTCATCTTCCAGTAAACTAAATTTAATTCTGCCCGTTTTTTTATCCAATTGATTCAACTTACTTAACATTTTCTCTTAGTTGCTTCACTAGTTTAATATTAACATCCGCTTCCAATAATGCTGTACATACTTCTTTTAGCATAGCATTTAATACCTGTAAAAAATAAAATAAAATTTAAAAGCACTCCATGTATTTTTTTCTTTTTTTGAGAGAGGACCTCACTCTGCAGTTCAGGCTGGCCTTGAACTCACTATGTAGCCCTGGCTGGTCTCAAACTCACAGTAATCCTCCCAAATGCTAGGATTACAGGCATGCACCAACAGGCCCAGCATTGTATTATTTAAATTACATTTAAAAAATGGTTGACCAGTTATCATATACTATCATAACTTAATGAAGATAAAAAACAATACTACAAAATGGAATAAGAGTCTTTAGTTTTGAAGAGAAAACATTAATTATTCAGTTCTCTTGTCAAAATAGAACATCCGTAGTTTTATACTATACTATTAATTACCACAATTTTATTTCTATAAAGTAGCAACAAGAGGGTGCTGGTGAGATGGCTCAGTGGTCTAAAGCACCTACTTAGAACAAGCTAAGCCAAGCAAAGCACAGGGACCGCGGTTCAATCCCCTAGCACCACATGCCAGCTAGCCCCGCCCCCTCCTGGGCTGAGCAGGCCACACACACACAAAATAAATAAATAAATAAAATTATAAAAAAAAAAATACACAAAGTAGCAACAAGGAAAGGATGAGGATGAGAGGAAAAAAAAAGAATTAAGATGTGTTATGCACATGCTCCAGCTCTCCACAATGAATGTAACCATTATGTACTGCAAATGTGTACTAATAAAAATTTTTATTTTATTTATAAAATTTATTTATTTTTTAATGTATTTGGCACAGGGTCTCACCACACAGCTTGGACTCGTAGTGATCCTCCTCTTTTTAGCCTCCCCAGTGCTGGGATTGCAGGTGTGCACCACCACCCCTGAACTCAGTTCCCAGCTCAGCACACCCAGGGGCGGGGCAGGCACAGCAGGCAGTACGGAGGATTGAACGCAAGTCCCTGCACTTGCCTAAGCAGGCACTTGGTCTGCTGAACTATTTCACTGGCCCTAACTTTTTAAAAATTAAAAAATAAAGTATTAACAAAATAACACCCAAGTAAAGAAAGTTATTACACAATAAATGATGCCAATAATGTTTTGTATGTTGCTGAAGAACTCTGACATTGATCGGTAGTGACATATAGTCACAGCATCTGCTTTTCTTAATTGGACTACCACAAAGGAAAATGCAACAGAACAGAATTACTGGTCTTACCATTTCTTCACAGTGCAAAGGAATAAAGGTGGAAAGAAAACTACTCAACACTAATAACTGTCCTTTGTCATACTTCACCATACATTTGTTTGGTTGTACGATGCTAAGGTTAAAGGGTCATGAAGTAAAAAAAAAAAAAAAAAAAAGGTCATGAAGTCTTAAGAAACTATGAAGCTTCATTCTTCATATACCTAAGTGTTACTATGACTGAGCACAAGCTTATAAGTGGAGGAATTTTTATCTCTTTTGCTCACTCCTTTATCACTAGTGGCAGCAAAAAGTTGGCAAAAATTTAGGCCCTCGACTACTTCTTTTTTTTTTTCAATTACATTTTAAATGCTTTATTTGTGAGTGGATGAAGCTTTGGGGGACATCTAGATATAAACTCTAACACTGGCTAACAAAGTGAACATTATGCTCACTGATCTACTATGAAATACACATGCACACGCATATATACACATATACATTAAAAATATTTAAAAAATATTAGAAATGATAGATTACCACTAAACAAAATGATAGGAGTTCAACAAGAGTTGTTATACTGAATATTGTCGCCTTCAAATTAGTTGTTCAGATTATCAGATATAAGTCAGTAAAATTGGTTAAAAAATCATAAAAATTAAAAAGGAAAGAGAAAAAAAACTTAAGCATTAATGGCTCCTTTTGACAACAGACCAACAGAAATCAACAGTACAATTATCCAAGCTCTCATGTGTATATACACATATATTTCTTTATCTCTTCCTTGTTTCTTTCTCTTCTTGTTTCCCTCACGCCAGTTGTTCTTTCCCTTTGAACAGTTTCGCTTCCTTTCACAATATCCATTGTATCTTTCGGATCCCATTTACTCTTTCAGGTCCTTACAGTAGTGAGACAGTATGATGTTTACA